GAGATTCTAAGCGGTACGTAGTTTTTACTCTCTGACAAGGAAGTAAATAATTTTAACGTTATCGACAATGATCTACATATATTTATTCTCATAAGTCTGATCAATAATAGATTACTCAGAACAGATCTCATGATATAAGAAGACGTGGTGGATCTCATAATCTCATGAGAAACACTTACGTCGCAATAAAAAGAAAAAATTAAACAAAAAAAGAAAGATAAGGGTACTTGCATGCACCTTAGAAGTACGTTTTACATCGGTATGCAACATTCCTTAGAAGTTAGATTACGAAGCAATGACGTTTCTCCAAAAAGTCGTGTATGAATCAATAGACCTTAGCACTTTGTGCCAGAGGAAAAATAATGTTCCGAAGCCGAACTACGCATCGCTTGATGCATGTAATGTATTACGGACGCACGCGTAGCGTGTTGTGTGTGTGTGCATTTGTGTGTGTGTGCATTGTGTGTGTGCGCGCGCGCGCGTGGTGTGTGTGTGTGTGTGTGTGTGTGTGTGTGTGTACATATGTGCGATATGTACATACGAAATGGAAGAGAAAAAGAAAGATAAAGGAGGGAAAGGAAAAGAAAATGCGAAATGACGTCAATGACATTTATATACCCAAGCATCATGTATGCTTCACGTTTGATTTGATCTGAAGTCCATCATTCCCGGATGACGCATTCAACAATCAGCAGTCAGCTATGTTTCGACAATTCGACAGCCGTTGTTGGCCGTTGTTGATGCAAGACGGGTCAAACCAGCAGGAGTCAACTGATTCAAGCCAATGTTGCTGTCGGGCAGTGTCGTGGCGTTTTCTTCTTCTAATTTAATGGCGCTCACCGACGAAATAACGGCGATTCCGCCCAAATTGTCGTCGTGTTGTGAATAGAGTACCCGTGGTAAAAGTAATAAGAGGTGCGTTCAGGGAGCCGCTATTAGCGCTATTTGTGTCATTCTATCCTTGTTTTACGTCTAATAAACAACGAAGATAGAATAACAGAAGTAGCGCTAATAGCACGTTCCCGAACGCACCAAAGGTGTGCTATTGTGCAGACATTTTTGCTGGCCAATGAGAGAGCGTGACTGAATTCAGTCATCTTGGGCAATTCAAATGCATATATAGATCCCTTTTATACCGTTAAATCGGTTAGTACCGGTTAGTACGCGTATCAAATTGATGCAAATTAAATATTTGATACGTCCTTATTTACACCGATTCTCAGAACGGGTCAAGTTAGGTGACACGATATCTTCATTGCTTTTCAAGATGTAAAACTTCTAATTCTAATTTTAACCTGAACTTAAAAGCAATGGCGAATTTTAATATACGATCCAAAACAAACCAAGCTTTTACAGCACACTGAGATTCTTTGATACCAATTGATACACATATCAGCTTGGTCTAAGGCCGGAATCAGACTAGGCATTGAAGATTGAGATTGAAGATTGAAAGATTGAAATTTGACCAATCAAAACAATAAGAGCTAAAATTCCTTTGTCCTGGTCAAATTTTAATCTTCAATCTTCAATCTCCATCTTCAACGCGTAATTTAATTCCGGCCTGATACTCGTAATTCAGAAGTATTAGACTAAAATAATCTGCCAGCGTTTATACCAAGCGTATCAAGTAATTTAGTGCGGATATGGTACTTAATACGCATATCAAGTGCTCGATGTAAACTAATGCGGGGTCTACAATAGAAGTCATAGCGGTCTTAGGCCGGTATTCATAGTCAGTTCTTATATTCAAGACCGTCTTAAGTACGATCTTAAGAAGTCACGAACCAATCAGAAAGCCACATTAGCGTCTTAAGACACTACTTAAGACGGTCTTGAAATAAGAATCGACTATGAATACCGGCCTTAGGGTCTTAAGTCGTAGAAAATTGACCAATCACAGTTGATTATTCTTCTCATATTCGATTGTGATTGGTCAATTTTCTACGACTTAAGACCCTACGACTGCTACGACTTCTATTGTAGACCGCATAAGCCATACTAGAGACCAAAGACATAGCCCGGTATTCATAGACCTAGTTTACATCGTGCACTTGATACGAGTACTAACTAGTAACTTTCTATTGAGTTATTTTAATTTTGACGATACGTGCAAACATATATATAATATGTGCATTTAATTAATCATTTTGATGCATACTGTACCAATTTAGTACATCATTCTTTGAATACATCGCTGAAATTAAAATAATTTAATAGAAAGTTACTAGTTAATACAGTTCGCGCAATTAATGCCTTCCCAGCCTATGACATTACGTCCACTGGTAAGACATCGCGTTTATCTTCTCGGTTGTTTTCACGTTCATGGCCGTAGTCGGACAAACCAGACTAGCCAATAGAGATTGGAGAAACTCGCGTATTGTCGATAATTCCGTCTGACTACGATCATGGACATGAAAATAACCGAGAAGGTAACGCGCAATGTCAAAACGGAAGTAGAAAGCATTAATTGCGCGAACTGTACCCGTATCAAGTGCACGATGTAAACTAGACCATAGTCAGATCGTAACAAAGAGGTTGTATACATAGAGTAGGGGAGCCAGCTAAGATTACGTTAGCGAATAGAAAAAGACCGAAAACGAGAGGGCCATCAGCATCCTTATTTAATCGCGCATGCGCTGTAGATTTTCACTGTTAGGTGCTTTGACTATATACCTCTGGACTGCTAACGGCAGATATAAAATATTCAATTAACATATATCAGAAAAGATCTGACTAAAATAATTTTATTTAAAGGGCAATAAAAAGTATACATATATATTAGCTTATAATTATATATATTATTTTCTTCAGATATATTTTATTTAGATTTGTCCTACCGTGTTTCTTTTCATGTATATTTTATTGTACTGTAATATGTACTTTATTTTATTATTAAATTTGGTACCTTTTTCGAATTGATTTTAAATCTGTATTTTTCCCGCATCACATTTAATTACTCCTACAGCTTTGTATCTGGTATTATTACATAATTTAGCAAAACAAGAACGAACCATTTTTTTATTTAGCAGTACTTCTGGATCACTTCAATTTTTTATTCGGAGTTATTCGTACCGATTCTTACTTAAAATGCAGCTAGTTAGTTCTTGATTTGGCCAACTTCCGGACCTGATGGCTCTGAGATCTTGGATACACGGTCCTCTCTTTCTATCTTATGGAAAAGGTAGGAAAAGTGGGGGTAACTAGCAGTCCAGAGGTATATAGTCAAAGGTTAGGTGGAGAGATTTCAGGAGAGCAATATAGGCTGCGTTCAGCAGACTCAACAGTTTTGCAACCGTTTTATGATTGTCTGCTGAGATAGGACCATTCTTCTAGATCTAAAAGTATGATCCAATTAGCGCGAAGGAAACTTCCAACAGTTGCAAAACAACCGTTCTGCTGAACGCAGCCATTTATATTACAGTCGAATATAATTACAGTTGAATCCGAGGGGAATAATCGACTGTGATTCGCCCATTTCTTATGGCTTAAAGCTTAAAATCCTATTATAGATCCGGGGTAATGGCTCCTGCACACTGAACGCGGAAAAGCTTACCGCGCGGCAAAGTGCGACGCGATAACTAATGAACATGTTAGGAGCTGTAAGCTTAAGTCTGATTTATAATGGCCGTAACCGTTAAGAGTATATCCACACAAATTTGCATAGCCGCATAAACGTATGCATAAAGAAAATTAATCAATCGCATTTCTCCTATAAAGACGCACGTAAATTGTGATTGGATAATTTTTTTTATGCATACGTTTATGCGGCTATGCAAGTTTGTGTGGATATATCCTAAGACCATAGCACACACTTTTGCATGACGCATAAGAGAATCAACAAATCATAATCCTTCTTATCCTCCCATTTCACGGAAGAGAAGCATTTTGATTGGTTGATTCTCTTATGCGTAATGCATTATGCGTCATGCAAAAGTGTTCTGCGGCCATTAACTTATGCCGATGCCGGTAAAGTTCAACCATAGGATTTCAATGCTTTCGTTCATACTAATACAGCAAGTTAGTATAAACGAAAGCATTGAAATCCTATGGTTGAACTTTACCGGCATCAGCATAAGTTAACGGTTACGGCCATTATAAATTAGGCTTTATTGGCTACTGTGTCATGTTTTGCCGCGCGGCAAGCGTTTCCGCGTCCAGTGTGCAGAAACCATAAGACCGGACTATGGATTCCGTCCTTAGACTGAGGGCAGCAGTCGCCATTCTGCTATGTTTCAACTTGTGTTTCCAACTTTCGTGCTGAAAGTTTAAAATAGGAAAAACAAAAGCTGTTTATCAGCAAGAATTTCGCTTGGAATGGAAGACGCATCCAAAATTAAAGGATTAAGCGGGGAGCACAGACTCTTGCATAACGTATAACACATAAGGCATAAGAAATTCATCCAATCAGAGTTCTTTATTTCATGGAAAGGAAGGAAACGAAGGACTTTGATTGGTACATTTTCTTATGTATTACGTGTTATGCGTTATGCAAGAGTCTGTGCTCCCCGCTTTTCATTCGAGAGGAATTGACGAATAAAACTCAAGCATACTGTACATATTGTAAGCGCAATATTCAATATATAAATATCTGACGGTTTTTTGGCGGTATTTCAAATAGAATTTAGCGGGTAACTTTCTTCAACAGTTGGCATCACTGCTTCGGAACTCTAGTTATTCCTCTCAACGGACTCCCTCTCAATTCAGCGCACAAACCGGTTCCACTTTTTTTCTTCGCGCGCTATCAAGTTGAGTCTCCTTCTCTTACTTCATGGTAGAGATCCTATAAATATCTCTAGTCTGTGATCATGACATGATGCGATAGTATGTTTGGTAGTACGTACGTACGTTATGTATTTGTGCTCGTTTAATGAATTATACTCCTGCCGTTTGTCTAATCTAAGATCAAGGAATTTTGACTATATCGAATCCACGTTTGGGAATCAGGTGCTATATTAATAAAAAAAGAAGAGGAAGTGCCATTCGTTTACATTTGGACAACGATGTTGTGGGATGATGTTATTTATGTACTATTGCTATTACTTTCCATAGCGTTCGGGCCGTTCTATTGTAAAATACGAGGACTTCGTACCAAACAATGGGTTGCGACCCTTTTCGGCTTCGCATTAGTCGTCTGTGTTTCAGGACTGTCGGTCTTGCATCCAATCGTTACCGTTCTCATCAACGCAGTTATCATAACCAACTTATCATGGAAGTACGAATATATTTTGTTTTTAAAGTAAATCTTTTTATAAAATTGACTTGCATTTAGAGTATTGCTCACTGATTCTGCTAAAATTTTACGTAAGTATGTATTTTAAAACACAAAATTTGTATACAATCTTTTTTTAATAATTTAAACTATATGTGATGTTAGTTTGGAATTTTTTTCATGAAATTTTTGTATATTTTCGGTGCTTCCTAATATCTGATATATATATATATATATATATGATATACTTAGATAGCCAGATATGCCGAAAGCACCCAATGCAAATTTATGTTACATATTGGCAAAAATCAGGCAGTCGAGCACAATTTGTCATTTCAACTAGCGTTAACAAAACTACAGCAAAAATTTTACAGAAACTGCATCATAACATACTAAAAAATAATATACTACAAAAATTAAGCAAAATAATTCAGATAAATAGAACAAAATTCAAATATTATATGCTGACAATATATAAATATAAAATAAACCAAAGCTAAATTTGACATGCTGTCATATTAGCAAAATGTATTTAGAAATCTGACATATTGTTATCATATGTGAGAACCAAGCAGCAGGAAAAGCAGGAATACCATACTGATTTATCATATCAAGTACTAACAGCAAAAACAGCAAAAATCGAGCATAGCCTGCCGTCATGAGATGACTGTCCAAAATGCAACATTATGGGTGCGTTCTTTTAGGCATCGGATTTGGCAGTCGCTGCGCATCGGAGCTGCCGATTGCGTGTTTTTTAAACGATTACGCAGATACGTAGCCGGCTGCGCAGCTAATTCTATTCGTCTGCGTATCTACTGCGTATCCATTGCCAAAAGAACGAAAATCTGCGCTGCAATCGATTGTGCAGTTGTGCTAAAAGAACGAATTACTGCAAGAACTGCTGTATCCGATGCCTAAAAGAACGCACCCATTATGTTATGATCTGTTTTATCAGTTAAAAACAAAAACAGTAGAAATTATCCTAGAACAGAATTTACAGCGATATCATTGCAACATCTGTGCAATATTGCTGCAACATACAGTGGTTGTATTCAGCAGAGAAAATTGATCAGCACTAATTGATTAGTGATTCTTTAATATGATTGGTTCTTGCCTTCAGTTCTTCGCTAAATCTAAGTGTAGGAACCAATCGTGTTAAAGAATCACTAATCAGTTAGCATTCAGTGATTCTTTAATATAATTGATTCTTGCCTTCTTCACTGGATCTAAGTGTAGGAACCAATTATATTAAAGAATTACTAAGCGCTAACTGACTAATTTTCTTTGCTGAACGCAGCCAATATTGCAACAGTATTGCTGCAATTTTTGTGCAACTTGTGCTATAGAGATATAATTTGTTGTCACAATTTGTTGTAATAGCAAAAATATAGTAAAAATTCAAGAAATAATGTTAATAATAACTTAATGTACAAAAAATTATTAGTATTTTTAGGTTAGGAAAGTAAATGTAGCCATATCGCCAAATCTGCCAAGATCATATATTATAATTTGTGTGCCACGTACTATGTTGAACTCCAGCAATAGTAAGCATAATCTCAGTTACTGTCGGTAAAAATACAACAGGAAACGAGCAGTTCCAAAAAAAGTATCAAGATATATTATTAAAAAATTCTTCAAAAATTAAGAATTGGCATAAATTAGATTCTGAACATTACATGCTGACACAATGTGTCATCAGAAACTAAACCAAAACTGAGTATAACGTGATATCATTATACTGGCAAACGTCAGAAATCGAATTTATTCCCTAGCGAAAATTTTTCTCAGAATTTTTTATATAATTTTTCAGAATTTCTGTATAATTTTATAACACATTGTTTATACGAATGGAACATTCTCAGAAAATCTACATCTTTTCTCAGAATTTTCCATATATGTTAATTATGAAATATCGTAAGAGAGAGATATATATATAATATAATATATATAATATATATTTCTAAGATTTTTTATAAATATAATTTCTGATAAAATGTAATAAAATCTAAAATATTAAAAATATTTTTTTTAAATTATAGGATCTATTATGGGAAATCACAGAATATTTCAGAATTCACTTGTACGAAAAATTATGAGAGAAGACGTAAACTTTCCGAATATTTCTGAGTATTTCTGAAAAATGTTCCAATTCATATAAAAATTATAAGAAAAATTTTCACCAAGATGTGCTTGCACGCCATGATGAAAAAAAAATTAAACATGTACTGTTGTCTCAAAAAAGTAACAGCAAAAACACAGCATGCAGAAACGCGGCACGAAAATATTGGACTATAGTTCTTCCATTCATCACTATGCGACATATCTATCAATATTTATCTCATATTTAAATTTCCGTCACAGGCAAATATAAAGACTGCATAACGCAACTAATGAAAATAAAATTTGTAGTATTTTCCTAGCAGTTTAATTTCTGACACCATTCCTATAGAGAATTCAAAATATTAAACTAGTTTTTTTTTTTAAATCGAACAATTCCCTCAATGAAAAATTGTTCATTTATTGACCACTTAAGGTGCAAAATAATTAAAAGTACATTTCTATTTTGTAAAATCTTATTCTGTATTTAGATTAAATGTATTTCTTTAATAAAAATGCATTTATTTAATGAAAGTTAAATGCGTAATAAAATATATTTATTTATTATGTGTGATTTCTATTGCATTTTTGCTCTCAGCAGCTGATAAGACAGATTGCGTTCTATACCTGCCACGTTTTTTGCAGTTATCTCGTGACGACAGGTTATGCCAAAGACATACTATATTTACGCTCGATTTACGTCGAAGTTGTAATATCGATGTTATAATCTGGTTAATCATAGCTATTTCTCAGAAGAATGGGATGACTGTGATTGGCCAGTTTCCTAACATCGATGTTGGGTGCGGTCGAGTTGCCGCTACGAATGCTTTGAAGAATTTTTTGATTGGTCAATTAGTAAAATTCTTTCTTCCAATTGGACAATCAAATGCTTCGAAGCATTTGTAGCGGCAACTCGATCGCACCTCTTATAACTTCGGTGTAAATCAAGCTGTGTAAACCAAAGACATACAGAATGGACTGCGCGATCCGTGTGTCAAAATGGTCGATAAAAGTAAGAGAAAGGAACCGGGGAAGACAGCCATCTCTATCTCTTTTCATTTAAGAGGAGAGAGAATGGTCGCGTTCAGCAGACTCAACTGTTGTGGAACGGATCCGTGAGCGCTCGCTGCGCTATTGGTGTATTCTTTTAGATCATCCAATAGCAGCGAGAGTTCACTGATTCGCTTCGTCACAGTTGAGTCTGGCTGCGGTCCACTTGACGCTACAAACGCTTCAAAGCATTCTTTGATTAGTCAATTCGTAAAATTTTTTGTTCTAATTGGTCGCTTAAACGCTTCGAAGCGTTTGCAGCGTCAAGTGGACCGCAGCCTCTGCTGAACGCGGCCATTGTGGAGCGGATCCGTGAGTACTCGCTGCTATTGGATAATCTAGAAGAATAGCAGCGAGCGCTCACGGATCTGCTCCGCAACAGTTGAGTCTGCTGAATGCGACCAATGAGAGGAAGATTGGCAGTCTTCCATGGTGATCCTTCTCTCTCATTGATCCTTTTTACACCATTAAATCGGTTAGTACGCATATCAAATTGGTGTGGATTAAATATTTGATACGTTCCATGGACTAGTTTACACCGAGCACTTGATATGCGTATTAAATACCATATCCGCACGAAATCACTAGATACGCTTGGTATAAACGCTGGCGGATTATTTTGGTCTGATACTTCTGAATCACGAGTATCAGGTCAAGCTGGTACGCGTATCAATTGGTATCAAAGAATCTCAGCGTGCTGTAAACGCTTGGTTCGTTTTGGATCGTATATTAAAATTCGCCACTGTTTTTAAGTTCAGGTTAAAGTTAGAATCAGAAGTTTTATATCTCGGTTCACGAGGCCGACCGCCGCATTTTTTCTGTTAGATTCTTTCATTTTGAGTGAAAACTCGAATGAGTACATTTTTGTTAAGATTCTAGAGTAGGACCCGTATTCTAAGTACTATAATTACCAAATAAATATTTTATACATTTTACTTTATGTATTTCGAATGTAATTAATTATTTATTATTGTTTAACAAACAATATCTCAAACTAGAAACATCTCAAATTAGGAACTTATTCTAAACAATATTTTAATTTGATTCCAATTAATTGGTCATTGGTACTATGTATTATAAATAAATTATTTGTTCAAAACAAATCATTTTTTTAGATTGGATACATTTTTTTTCAGTGTAGCACACGTTTTCAGTGTTATTAATTGAACATACGTAGATTCTGAACCAGTGGAGTGCAAACCAATCGAATACTATGACACTGAAAGAGGGCGTACTTATTGTTAATGCGCACTAGTGCATCCAATCGAATTCGTTGTAAGATTATTGAACGCCACTTTAAAAGAGGAATCATCAAAATTCAATGAAAATGAAACGAAAATTGTACCAGCTCTTTACTTTTTGAGTAACGGTAACGAATTACTTTTATAAAGTAATTTGCCTAATCCGCATACGTACATATATGTAATATATGTATGCGATACTAGTGTAATAGTATCTAAGGATGTTTGTAAATCTTATGTGTATAAATCACATTTTATCGGTAAAACAACAATACTGTTGAAGTTTGGTCTTCAGTTTGGAATCCCTTTTGTAACGATAACAAGTTATTTTTCAAAAATATGAATTTTTAAAAATCATGATATTATATTCAATTGGGCGTGAAAGAATTAAAATAAGAAATAAGAATTGAGTTTATTGAAATGAATATTTTATAAAATATTTTATATCAAAATATGTTGAGATAAAGTATAAAATATCACAAAATACTGTTCTTTAATTAGAATACACACAAAAACTAACACAAAAAAAAATTAAATTTCATAGAACTATCACCGTAGGTATACATGACTAATAGTCTAAAATAGACATCAGGTGGGTGTTTTATATTATAAAATTTCTGAAAAAAAAAATGTTAAAGGAAATATTTGTTTACAGTATATTAAATTTATTGAGCCTTTAGTTTCCGACGTATATTCTGAATTTTGTACTTAATGCAAATGACAAACTTTATAAGCGCACTAAAATTTCATTTTTCATCTTTAATCTGATGATTGACTTGAGAGTTTTCAACTTATAACATTCAACTTATGAAACTATAACCATGGTTAAAACATGGCATCTGCAACGAGTGAAATAGTACGATCGGTTATATGTAATAATGCATACCGTTCAACATCAGTATACTCAAAATAATTTTAAAATACATATTTAAATGGAATTCTGCAAATCGGTAGAGCATACTCAAAATGAAACATTCAACATTTAGCTAAGTAATGAATGGTAATCCAATAAAGGAAAATCATGGCTAATATGGTATATTCTCAACGATACATTTACTAAAATTTCAATTTACGAAAATTTTCATGAGATAAGAATTATAATCTATAAACTAATTTAATAGAACATGTAAGAAACAAGAAATCCAGGTTTTCCTGAATCCGGAATACCATATAATTATATCTGTCACAGGATTGATTCGATAGACTTTGATATTACAGAAAATGTCACTTGATCAGCCTATATTTCTCCTTTTTCTACTTACTGGTAATCTTTCGATTGGGTGACTATTTTGGTTTACCGAGTCCACCAACTCACACGAATCTCGTTGTAATGATTCTCACCTTAAAGCTATCCGGGCTAGCATTTGAAATCAACTCTGCAGCAACTGCGCCTGCCGATGATGTTCAAGGAGCAAATTCCGACGCGCTCAAGAAAATTGATTTCATGGATGTGATACATTATAGCTTTGGTTATATGGGTGTACTAACAGGTAAGATATGACGAATAACATATAGACGCAAAATTATAATAAATGTTCAAAAATTCGAATACAAATTATGTTAATTAATTTTTGCAGGTCCGTATTACCGTTATAGGACGTATTGGGACTCTCTCCATAGACCGTTTTCCAACTACATTGATCCGTGGCCACTTACCTATTACAAACTCAAACAGATCACGGCGTTCATCGTGTTGTTTCTAGTGATAAACTATCTCTTTCCCAGTGACGTAATGTCCACATTACATTACAAAGAACCAAACAAACTTCGGTGATAGAATGGGATAATTTTAATCTTATTGCGCATTATTATTTACAGTAGCTCCTAGACAATTAATATTATTGTTATACAATATGTGATATTGCACTGGGTTTGTATAATACAAGATGGGACATTTAAAAATTTTTTCTATTTTTTTATACTTTCGATGATATTTGCCTTGAAAGAGAAATATCGTTTTTTTTTTTTTTTTGAAGCGATATTTCTTCCTAAACATGAGATTCTGTCCGTAAAAAAATACTCTAAAATTTGTTATTGTTATATTTAACAACATACTTCAAGGTGAATCAAGTCAGTTACGGACAGTGACTTAGTTTACATCGTGCACTTGATACGGGTACTAACTAGTAACTTTCTATTAAATTATTTTAATTCAGCGATGTCTTCAAAGAATGATGTACTAAATTGATACAATATGAATCAAAATGATTAATTAAATACACATATCATGTATATGTTTACACGTATCGCCTTAAAAATTAAGACAATTCAATAGAAAGTTATTATAGTTAGTACCCGTATAGTAAGGGTGTGTTTCGTTTTTACTGGCAGTGCAGTAAACGTCATCACAGTACACTGCGACAACTGTTCCACAATTACTGCATTACTGCCAGCATAGTTGTAACAGCGTATATCGGAACAAATTTCAAGTGCTATCAACATGGCGATGCACGCAATAAATAAACAGGTTAAGTTACAAATTTGCATGATTGCAATAGAAATATTGAACGAAAGCAGTGATACCTCTGACGAAGATGAGTGTGTGTGTTATTAGAATTAATCAATTCAATATATTTAATGTTATATTCAGGATCTAATATTTTTACTTTTTCAGTAGTACCAGGGTATTTATCATGAAACGTGTCGAAATGAATTCCGATCGTAATTTTCCCGTTTTCTCTAGAAAATATGATAGAAATGTGAAGAATAATTGAATAATTTTGATCAGTATCAATTCCGAATAATTCCATAATACGTACTCTGATGTGAATATGCCTGATATCGTTGTAGTTGATAATGCCATGTTCAACGCCATATTTCTATTGTAACTGCCTCATCTCGAAAGCAGTAGTCGCAGTGGCAAATGGCTACCATTTATGACGTCATTGATGTTACTAGATGCTGTGCGCTGCGCACTAATAATGGAATGATTTTTCAATACTGCCAGCACTGGCAGTCTATATCGGAACACACCTTAAGTACACGATATAAACTAAGCTAGTTGTGACATGTCCCTTGTCAATATATTTTGTTAATCTAAAGTTCTTTGAAATATGTTGTACAATTTATGAAATATTAATTCGTCTATGAGATATTATTGTATATAGTACATATGCGCAATAAGACCCATTCATACTAATTCTCAATCCGAAATGGAGTTTCTAATTATGTTTTCTGATTGCAAATGCGGTGACAGCATAATAATCATTACAATAATTTTAATAATTCGTCCTTTTCGATTTCAGTACACACAAACGGTAACGTTCGAAGAGCACTGTTTCCTCTATAGATTTTTCTACATATATCCGGCATTCGCTGGTTTTCGACTGAGAATGTTTATCGGTATGGTGCTGGCCGAATGCGTCTGCCAAATGTCAGGATTAGGAGCTTACCCAGTCTGCTGTCAACCCGCACCTGGTCTGGGCCCACACGATTACAAAATGATCGAAAAATTGTACGATTTCTTTATTCCATTTTGAGATATTTATATTCAGCAAACCGCTTTTCTATTGGTCAATGATATACATATAGTACATGATTACATTTATATGTCGTTTCTCAGCATTAACAAGGAGAGACTTACATATGTATTTCACGGATTTTGGTCAGCTTTTGCATGATTATTCTGGGGCACCAAAAATAATCTCTGTAAAGCAGTAAATTGCACCTCTGCGCATTTTTCGAGAAAATCGTAATTTTAGGTCACGACGACGGATCGCTTTCAAACCTGGGGGAATTGATAGATATTTAAAAAAACAAGCAATTTATACATAGGTCGTCTGAAAAGTTTTGAGCCTCAACATGAAGATGGCATTACTCGTCAAAACAATTTTGGTACTATATAATCGTACATACTTTGAAAGATACCTGCGAAAATTGTAGCTACTTCCGGCGCTTAGTTGTTGTTTGACAGTCATTTGTGCCAGTCAATGTCAATGTTTTTTGTAAAAATGGAAAAAATCGAATATCAGCAGTCGCCATGATAAAAATTCACGAATTGCGATTCGAATTAATTGACCATCCACCAGATCTGGCCCCCAGCGACTTTTTTCTGTTTCCTAGGCTCAAAGTTTGGCTCGGAGGACAGAAATTTTCATCGAACGAGGAGGTCATCGCATCTGTAGACACCTATTTTGCAAAGCAAGACGCTCAGTATTATTTGAATGAATTAAAGGGGTGGGAGCATCGCTGGAAAAATGTATCGACTTAAAAGGAGACTATGTGGACAAATAAAATTGAATTTGACCGAAAAATTACTTGTTTCTATATTAGGCTCAAAACTTTTCAAACGACCCTCGTATATATATATATATATATATATAAGGTCCGAAAATTAACAGTTTTTGAAAAAATTGACATTCTTTGATTTCAACCGAAACTTGAAACACCTCGCGAATAGTTGTCACTTATAAAGCGGTAGAAATCGGCGCAGATGGTACAGAGTTATGAATCCTATACGGATTATGCTTATACATTCATGTCCGCTGGAGATGTATATTTATCTAATTTTAAATAATTTCAAATATTTCATTTACGTTTAAACGAAGAGTAAAGAGGTTTGAAAGCGATCCGTCTTCGTGACCTAAAATCACGATTTTCTCGAAAAATATAGAGATGCAATTCACTGCTTCACAGGAATTATTTTTTGATGTCCCAGAATAACCATGCAAAAGCTGATCAAAATCCGTGAAATAAGTACGTACATATATATGAGTTTCTCCTTGCAAGATACAGAATTGATATTTAGGCCCAATTTCATAATATATAGTTACCTAAAGATTAAAGGTAATCAAGAAATTCATGAATGAATTTCATTGATGAATCTGTTGGTAACCTTTAATCTTTAGGTAACCATATATTGTGAAAACTAGCCTTAGACTGCCGACTTTTCTTCCATGTTTGAAAACAGCGCTGCAGCGGAATTCTATAACTCGTTATGTATTCATAACGACAGTTGCACAGATATTTTATATAGTAAAAAAGCTGCGCAACTGTCGTTATAAACACATATAACATCTACCGATAAACGTTATATGCGTGTACAGAATAGCATCCCTTGTATCTGCCGAAAATGGCCGATTAAAACCGATTAAAATGTAATCCGTTTTAATCAATTGTAATACGTTTTAATCGGTTCAATCCGCGCTCGGATTAAAAAGTAATCGGTTTCAATTCCGGAGGAATCGTAATTGGTTTTCATGTCACTTTCGCAGATTATTTCTAATCCAAATTCATTACGTTCTAATTCATATTGTTATCAATCCAAACAGATCCGAACAGATCCGAATAATCGGATGAATATGTAATCCACCGCTAACTGGGAGAAATTCTGACTGAATCGAATTATTTTTTGCTGATCACGGCAAAATCGGATTCTCAAAACCGATTTTATTATCGTCCGCAAAATCGGAGAAATTCCGATTAAATAGGATTACTTTCGTCGGTTGCGAGAAAATCGGATTATCGTTTCATTAAAACGGATTCCAATATCGTCTGCAAAATCGGAGAAATTCTGATTTAATCGAATTACTTTCGTTGGTCACAACAAAATTGGATTCAGGTTGCATTAAATCTGATTTCGTTTCATTTATGGAATAGGGGAATTTATGATTGAAAAAACAGATTCATATGATCCAATTATAATCCGTATGAAGCGCATTAAATCGGTTTCAATATGCTATCCTCGGTGCAAGAATCCCGATCGATACGGATTACTTTTGTTTTTTTAATTGGTTTTAATCGGCTGTTTTCGGCAGAGTAACCAAAGAATATAGGAAGTTCACAAGCAAGCAATCTGTTAATATAATAATTTTTCAGATCGCTTGATCGCGAGAGAGTGAAAAAAGAGAAACAGGATTTCGAAACGGTGCATAATATGAATGTATGGGAAGTGGAATCATCTCCGTTTGTCAGGCACACGATGAAAGTATGGAATACATGCATACAATATTGGATGGCTGTGTGCATTTATAAAAGATTTCCTCATAAAGGTTTAAGAACCATCGCCACATTGACTTTATCTGCTCTATGGCATGGTTACGCTGCAGGCTACTACTTTTGCATCTGTCAAGTCCCGCTCTATCTACCTTTCGAGGACATCTGTACTAAATTTTATAATCAATGCAAAGAAAATGAATTTGTAAGTCGTCTATATGTAAATTCAATAACATAGAGATGTAAAATCTATTTTGGTATCATCTAATAGAGAAAGATAAGGTATCCAGACAACACAGAATATTTACGATAAATATTTATTAATATTCATTTTTTGAAATGTTATATAGATATTTCATACATATTTTATATAAAGCTTTATTCGAAATATTATTAAAATATAATAAATATTATTAGAAATATTATTAGACTAAATATTTTATGCAATATTTATGATAAATATAAATAAATATTTCTAATAACTCGCACGGAATGCAAGAGATCCGGGTTCGACTCTCGGCCGAGGCATTATTTTTCGCAATAAATTTTAATGGGACAAGATGGATCCTTCAAGCGGAAATGACTATATTTTTTTATTAATGACAAAAAATAAAAATGGAATATTATTTGACCGTTAAATTAAAAAAAATAATTTTTTCAAAAGTGTTAAAAGTTGCAAAAAAAATTGAATTTTCCATAATTAAAATTCAGGAAGGATTTACTTATAAAAAAAGTAAAATATCATATAGAAAAAAGCATTGTAATAAAAAAATAGCATGAAGCATAAAGATAAAAAGTTCTGCTTTATAATTTTACAGTCGTACTTCTTTAATTTATTATTGTTTTGATTATTATATTAGCAGGGAATGGAAAAGTTTCTTTTCCGTTACTTTACAATTTCTTTTTATAATACCAATTTGATAATGATGTTGCAATTTTTTAGGACTGTAATGATAACTAACGCTGAGGTTACACTAAGGTTAAGAAAGTCACTTTGAAAAGTAAATTGTTACCATTACACGTTACTCATTGAAAAAAATAATATAATAAGTAACGAGTAGCATCGTAAAATTATTCCATTACAAGTCACATTAAAAAGTAATGAGTTACAAATTGCAAGTTATTTTTTTCGGTAACGAATGATTTTTCCAACCCGTTATAAATAACTATGACTGTTCCAATTCTGGTGTTACATTATCAACATAATAAAAAAATTCGCAACGTCACTATTAAATCGTTATTACAACAAGATAACTAAGATGTAAATAACGGCAGTTACAATAACTAGTTATTTCTATTCCCTATATTAGTGTAATAGTTGGAATTGTATGGGATGTTTCATAACATGTGAGCATAACTTTAAAAATTAACTCGAGACACAAAAATAACACAAAAAGAAAAAATTCATATAAACATTTATTTTATCTGATCTTATTTTCGAGTTACAGATGTTTTCGTATTTCATTAATTCTCGTCACAAACTGAGCTCTCTCTCTCTCTCTAGCATAGTGTCTTCACATATCTTCACGTGTCTTACTGACTATAAACAAATAAAAAGTATACCGGGTGTCCGATAATTAATGATAAAACTCTCATACATAGAATGGATTAAACTGAGAAGAAAAGTCCTCTATCATTTTGCAATTTTCGCAATAGTTAGCAAGATATCAATTACTAAAAATCGCTAAACATTGGTTTTCAATAATTTTTTACTCAAATATTATCAACTTTACAGAAAAACAGTAGGAGACAAAAATTGTTTATTTCCTTTTCATAGAATTTTTTCTCTAAGAATTTTTTCAGAATTTTTTATCAACTTTTTAGTACTGCATTTTCTTATTTTTACCAACATGAAAAAATACGGTATTAAAAAATTCTGAAAAAAATCTGAAAAAATTCTCAGAACTTTATGAGAAGAAAATAAATAATTTTTGTCTCTTGCTGTTTTTTTTGTAAAGTTGGTAATATTTGAGTAAAAAGTTATTGAAAACCAATATTCAGCGATTTTTGGTAATTAATATCTTGTTGACTATTGCGAAAATTGCAAAATGGTAGAGGACTTTTCATCTCAGTTTAATCCATTCTGCCTCTATGCGAGAGTTTTATCATTAATTATCAGACACCCTGTATAGTTATATAGCTGTATATAATATAGCTATAAGAATCAAAACGGATACATATATTATTCCAGAAGTATTTAATTAAGCTTCATAAATACACTTTGCTACCATGAAAAGCTTGCTTTGATTATTATTAAAACAAATCATATTATTACCTTATATTTTTTATTTGATATATAAAAGTTCTTGTAATTTTTATTTCTTTAATTAGTAAACACGTTCTATGTGAAGAAACATCCTGAATATATCAGAGAATATCGTCTTAGAAAGATATTCTTTCTTTAAATTACTATTTGAAGAATTTTGTTTATCTCGAAACTTAAAAATCTTTTACGTTGTAGAAAAAATGTATAAATTGAGTTATATAAATCATCAGTATTTATCAGTTTAGATTGAACTTATTTAAATATCTTGAGATAAAGGTATATATTTTTAAATAAAACAAAATTTTTCTATTCTAAAGCGATGTTCTCATATACTGCAAATATTAATTCACGTTATATATAATATTTTCTCATAATGAAATACAGGGCAAGAAGGCCTGGAGATTCTTCCTCTGGTGGGCGAAACTTACATGCATGGCGTACCTGGGCGTGCCCTTCCAATTACTGCGCTTCCAAGAAATAATACATTTTTACAAAAGTTTATACTTCTCCGGACATATTTTAGGGCTTGTAGCCTATCTCGTCGTACGAATCCTAAAAACTCGCTTTCTTAAACGAGAAATGGAAGAACACAAGAAGAAATAATTTTTCTTGCTTTACGTTAGCTTTAAAAAACAGAGGTTGCCATATCAATGCGAGATGAAAGAAACATGTCTTGATTTAACCATTTTTTAAACTGTTGATCTGTATTAGTGGAAACAGGAAATCGGTTTTCAATTATTATTTGATATTTTTTTGTAATTGCTATTTTCTCATATGATTTATAGTATTGATGTATAGTATTTTCTTTACATTAAAATGTTACGTAAACTACTATACAAAGTATTTCTTAATATATATGTAGGATCCACTTTGAATGGGGGACATTTACATAATGAAAAAAGATCCTATAAACATGTATCCTTTTGATTTTGTTTCAGAATTATAAGGCCTGTTCTTTTTGATTAAACTTTTGCATCAGTTGATTTTTCTTCTTCTTCTTTCCTCTTGAAGAGAAGTCGTACGCCTCTCCGAAAGTCGTACGCCTCTAAGCTATTTCCTCTCCTATATTCAGTTTTCTCGTACTGTGTTATTCGTACTTCGTTTCCACGCAGAGCGAAGTTCACCTCATTTTTCCCCACATTTTACAACACAAAGCGAGATTCTAGGCAGGGAAGATAGAGTGGAACTCGCTCCGCATTAATTTTCTGTAAGCAGCATGAATGGGATAAATTTTGTGTTCTATTTATAAAACTTATTTTGTTAATAACTTTAACGAATAACGAGCGCGGGCTAAAAGTACCTTCCTAGGATCACTCAGAGCCATGACCTTGATAATATATGTCAAAGTCGAAGTCATTGGAGGTGGATCTATTGTTTTCAATATTTACCATTTATTTTAATGGCAGAGAATTTTTGTTTTATATAGTAGAACTTATTTTGTTAATAACTTTTGAACGAATAACGAGCGCAGCTAAAACCTTCCGAAGATCACTCAGGGCTATGACCTTGAAATATATGTCAAGTTGTCTTTAACATTTACTGTATTTTGAATATTTTATTTAGATAGCTAAAGGAGAGTAACAAATTTTTGCGACCGTTCAGGGATTCAAACTTTAAATAAAATTAATAAAATTATAAAATCGCTTAATTATGTTTTAATAATTTAAAAATTAATTATTCTTTTCTCTCTCTCTCTCTCTCTCTCTCGTAACGATGTAAGGATCATTTTATTAACTTTATATCGATGTATCAATTTTTGCTTGAGCGTTATTATTATCATTATTATTAAGATAATTTTCGGTTTCAATGAAGAAAAATGCATAAAAAAATGTAAAAATAAGACGATCTCTAAACGATTGCAAAAATTTGTACTCTCTTTTAGCTATTTATTATACTATTATTTATTATATTATTATATAATAAATAAAATACTCAAAAAATAAAAAAATATCTTATTTCTGAAAGAATGGTATGTTTATTTGATGAATTTTGAAAATCTATACATTCTTTCCAAATTAATTTATGCAATTAACACCATTTCTCTTATCTTTTGATATTGTATCGCAATTGCTGCACAAACATGTGTCAACAACTTACGAGATATAAATACTTATATACATTAAAATTGAATTAATATTTGTAACATCTTTTGCAACTATTTCGTCAATTTTTTACATATTTAATTTTCTTTGTGAGATAAATTATCAATGTAAGAAAACTCTACATTATCATTTAATATTTATTTTGGCAATTTATGCCAAAATTAGATTCGCGAATGAACATGTAACCTTAAAATAGATCAAGCAACAGACAACAGGCAATAAAATTCCAATGCGTCGAAAAATTATTCTTATTTATCTGTGCCACGTTTTTTATCCCATGTATCCTTGTAGTGGTAAGTTTGTATTAATGGCCTAGTTTACACCCAGCGACCTGACTTGTACTCTGACCTATACCCTAACCTAAAGGAGGTTTCGAACGGTTTACCCCACCCTAGATCTATAATATTTTTGGGCTAATGTAGGTTAATTTATAGCGTTTTCGGTCCAATCGGGTTTGCACCTAGGTTGGATTAATCTTTCCTATTGGTTGACGTTACACGCTCTACCAATAGAAGAGCACAAAATGCCATTAATCCAACCCAGGTTGGTGCAAACCCGGCCGGGTCGAAAACACTATTAGTTAAAGTTCTAAGGATGCGTTCGGGAAGACGCTATTCGTGCTATGGATGCAAACGCTACCAACGCTGTTCATGGAGCTAATAGCGCGATAGTTCCATGAACGATCCTAGCGAACGTTGGTAGCGTTTAATGTAGATTGTAGAGGATTCTGTTCCGAAGCACCGCGCGATGGCACCGACTAAACTTTTCTCCTTTTACAATTTCGTAGATTAAACGTATGTAATAAGTCTATAGTACTCGCAGTGAATAAAGCGGTGTCTACAATGAGATTTTATGGCGTAAAATTCAAGATTAAGTCTTAAATCGTAAAAAATTGAACTATCAATGGCTGCGTTCAGCAGACTCAACAGTTTTGCAACCGTTTTATGATTGTCTGCTGAGATAGGACCATTCTTCTAGATCTAAAAGTATGATCCAATCAGCGCGAAGGAAACTTCCAACAGTTGCAAAACAACCGTTCTGCTGAACGCAGCCAATAATCGAGTGTTCTCGCATTCGACCGTGATTAGTCAATTTCTTATTGACTAATCTTAAGGTTTAAAGTTTAAATTTTACGCTTTAAAATCTTATTATAAACGGCACTTTATAGAACACAGTCTAAATTTTAATGTACAGGGAACCTATAGAAGACAACTTAGGAACATATATAACCTATAACGATTGTTGAAACAATATTCGACCTATGTGCGACAATACAGCAGTGTTTTTAATTAATAAATTGAATATTCCTAGTAAAAGAACAAATTAAAATAACTAAGTAAACGCAATGAACAGAATTTTTTAAGTTAACCAGATGGGAAATATCACGAAGATATCGAGCATTATTTATAAAAGTAGAACGAAGCTAACCATTTTTTTTTCAAATCTATGAAGGTAAGCCAACTACGTATTACTGGAAAACAAAAATGATTCGTAACTCTGAAACAATATCACACAAATAAACTACATGTCTGTATGAACTTTTGTCATTATTTAGGTGTCCCCATCCGCTGCCGAAGTAGATACCACATGTTAGGAAACAGTCTGTATATATACAAGGTATCTAATTTTATTTTAAAATCGGAAAATTTTGAAAAATATTTTAGGATATTCTAAATAAGTATCTAATTTCCTGTTTTGATATTGATAATAGTTTAATAAAAAGTTTTTTTTTTCGAAAGAAATATAAATTTTGTTTAGTTATAATAATTACACAAATATAAAAATTTATAGTTGCCTACTTTTTTTTTTACACTTGTTCATGTTCTAGAGATTCTATGAAAACAAATAAACCAGTGCTTAACGGCAAGAAATTCGTCAAAATAATTAAAAACTGAGCAGATAAAAATGAAACGCTGAGAATCCCGTCATGACGTAAAAAGTTAAATAATTAATTAAATAATTACTTAATTTTAAATTAAGTAATTATCTAAATTTGCGGGTCCGTACAATATTTCATATACTTACAAATACAGAAAACAATAATTCGATAATTATTATCAAATATATATTTTATAATATTATACGAGACGACAAGTCCTTTCGTAACATTTCTGATGTTTAGCTACTTTTACTGTTTTACCTTTTATAATTCATTATATACACAATACTATGTGATGTTGAATGTCGAGTAGTCGTATTTTTTCTAAGTCCATTAATTATATAATGTATACTATTTCAAGATTTTAAATAGGATTCGAAAAATAATTTTATGAAAATATTAAGTGAAAGTGATTCTACATTATTAAAAGAGAGAAAATATTTGTTTTCAAAGCGAAATAATATATTATTCTCAGTGTAGTTTTTAATAATGATCATTATTAATATTTTTTTTATTTGTCACGGTTGTCGAATGTTAAAAGATATCGTAAGTACAAATCCGAGTACCATTTGTTAATTGATACCCTACACATCCCAACATTTGCTAAAATTGCTACAAGATTATTTTACGGAATCAGAAGAAGGAAATTGTCATACATATTATTAGAATGTAAAAGATATTCAAGAGCAACGCTTGTAAATTGTCGAGAAGAGCACATAATAAAAAGTCTATTTCTGTATTTGATACATTTTATTGACACCTTTCATATATTTTGCACATCTCCGCAATCCACCGCCGTATATGTTGTTTCTCTATAGAATAAAATTTTATATGTCACTTCTACAAATAATTGTATATAAAAATACTCACATTAATTCATAATGTACCCATAGGTAGATTGACATTTATACCTGAAAGAAAGACACGGAAAAAATATCTCAGGAGGACATTCAAGAGAGAGCCTTCGTTTCTTTTAATTATTTTTGGTTGATGTGGCGCCGCCCGGTATTAAATCTTTCTCGATCAGCCGATGTATGCTGATTGTCCGAAATTGAGAAATGAGATAACAATGTCTCGCTAATTAACTCTTTACTTTAATTTAATCTACATTAAAAACTTTGAAATCACTTTTACATATCTTGGAATTTTCTAAATCTGATATTTTATTTTCGATATTTTCTACTATATAAAATGCATTGACATTTTAATGACTAAAAGATTTGAAAACGCAAAGCGAAAGTTCTGTAAGACATGTATGGAATAACAATAACTTATTTATCTTTGATCATTTGTAATTTCTTATTCATTGCCGATTAAAATATTTGTTTCGACTGAAAATTAGTCAGTATTAAGCAAGATGTATAGTATATATTTATATATTAATATACATATATATAAATTAAAATAACAATATAGCAAAATAAAAATTGAACGTACGATACATTTCCAATACAAGGGTAAATGTTTATCTCTACACAGCCAGCCCCAAATAACTTTTCATTGACCTCGATGTTGACCTTGACTTTCAAGGAGGTCAAGGTTATTGATTTTTTCCGTCGCTCGTCATTCATTAAAAAGTTACGAACAAAACAATTTTTATGAATAGTACATAATTTTTAAACATAAAGTACATATTTCAGCGGTATTTTCCTTTGACAGCGGGAGGTGAAAGTCACGCGCCCCAAGCAGGGGGGAGATGGGGTGAGAGTCGCTTCGGGTGTAAGTTGCACGCCCTCAAGTAGGGGGGGAGGGGAGGTGGAAGTCGCTTCGTCTAAAGGCCATGGCACACACCTTCCGTAACAGTAACCATAAGACGTACCGTAAGAATCAGCCAATTAGAATTAAAAGTTCAAAAGAATTCTCGATTGTGATTGGCTGATTCTTACGGTACGTCTTATGGTTACTGTTACGAAAGGTGTGTGCCATAGCCTTAAAGCTCTATATATCAAAGTAGCGCATAGGTCCTCCATGTCGGACCTACTAACTATACCCTATACAATACTAAGCGCTTATTGGACTACAGACGACTAAATCGAAATAGCGGTTGAAATAGCCAATAGGAAGGTTGTCGGCATTTCGGTTCAGATCAAAAGAATACGCTACTTTGATATATAGAGCTTTAGCTTCGTCCTCTGCCAAGGGATGCACGACTTTCTACGCAAAGTGACTCCCACCCCACCTCTTCCCTGCTTGAGGGTGCACTTTCACCCAAAGCGATTCCCACCCCACCTCCCCCCTGCTTGGAGACACCCGATTTTCACTTGAAGCGATAAAAATTGTTCTGTTCATAACTTTTTAATAAATGACGGAAAAAATCAATGACCTTAATTAATCTCCTTGAAAGTCAAGGTCAACATCCAGAAGTTACTTGGGGCGGGCTGTGTAAACATTTAGCAATATAAGTTTTATTATAATAAAAATAGAACATTTTAGCACATTTGTATCTTCTATATTAATATGTGATATGAAAAAATAAATTTATTTTAACGTATATAGACGGAAGAAAAAAA